TATCTGTCTGTCTATATCTATCCTATCATCTGCCCATCTACTATCTACCTATCATCTGTCTATCATCTATCTATCTATCTATCTATCTATCTATCTATCTATCTATCTATCTAGTTTTATTTGGCTGGCCTGAAACTCACTAAATAGATGTTGCATGATTTAACATGGGGACCAGTGAACAAGTATTTCTCACCACAGACAGGGTACCAATGACAGACCAAAAGAAGGATTAAGCCAAGTCTAGTTTAGTGAACCAGTGAGTTTACTGGGGCTGCTTATAGGCATGTAGGTATGGGGTCTCTACAGAAGCATGTCCCAAGGCAGCTACATTCCCACAAAGGCTGCCCCAGCACGGGCAATAGCTCAGTGACGCTGCACGCCTAGAGGCCCTGCGTAGTTTGCGCGCAGCAGTGGCGGCCTGGAGAGTACTCTTTCTCTCCAGCAATTGTTTGCTGCTCTCATAGCCTTGGAAACTAACCTTGGAAATCGTGCAGCTTTCAGGGTCTTCCTGGGCTTCCTAAGTTTACTTTCTAAGTCTTAGGAATATTTCATTGCAGAGGAGATGCTATACAATAGTAGACCCACATTGAACTTAGAGTAATCCTACCTATGCCCTCTGAACACTAGGCTTACAGGGATGTACCGCCATGCCCAGCTCATGTTAGGCCTCTTGTCTTGACAGATGACTGGTTTGTAATTTCCCTGGGGCAAGGGGTGGGCAATGACAGATGGTAGGCCTCCAAATGCCCAGGAGCATCCACCACTGGTTCACAGTGTGTTATAGCTCTGAGGGGAAAGGCTTCTCCAATGGAAATGCTGCAGCTCTGAGAGCTGGGTTTAGTAACCAAGGAATATCACAAGGTCACACTGCACAACAAACCTTACACAAGAGACTTGGGAGAGAAACAAGAGGAAGGCTGCCTCTGCTTGAGGGAGAAGCAGCAGGGAACTGAGCAGGAGACAAACTTTCTACAGAGTTTCTTGGGGGTGGAGTTTTCCAGGGTAGAGATTTTAATTTGGAGATTGGTGGGATTTTGAGCTCAGGGCTTGGTGGGGTTTGGTGAGCCTGCAAAACCTGGAGGGGTCTTGGACCTTCTGCCCTACACGTGGACCTCGTGAGCCAACACCCACTTCCCACATTGCCCCTGTGCTCACCACAGCTCTCCTTTGACTGTCTGAATTTAGGCTGCTGCATGTCCTTGAACCCTTCCCTCCCTCTCCCATCTGTAAAACCTTCTTAGCTTGGTGTGCTGGCACACTTCTGTAATCCCCACACTTGGGAGGTTGGGGGCAGGGGAACTGCAAGGTCAGGCCAGCCTAGGATAGCCTAGCATGAAGTCCCTCTCTCAAAAACAAAACAAAGACAAACCATGCCCTATATGAGACAAACCAGTTCCTCTTCCCTTGGAAAGTGGTGCTTTCTGAGGAGGAGGAGATGTTCTCATGGGTATGGTCCTACAGCCAAGAAGGTCTGTGCTGGGACAACTCGGGGCTGACAGAGTTCACTCATTTTGCTCAGCTCCACTGACAGTCAGTCTTGCTTTCGTGATGGGTGACGGCTAACGTTATGTTTACAAGTCTCTGTGCTTAAGAGAACTATAAAGGCAAATTATACCTCCAAATGTTAAGGGCGGTTAAATTTTTTACTGCTGTTCCGGCTTCTGTGAACAGACTTGTTTTGCACAAGAGGACCTTTTCCTTGCACCGGAACAAAAGTGCAATTTTGTGTTGTTTGCCGTTATAAACCCTGCCTGACTGAGGTGGGGGGGGCAGCTTTAGGGAGTCTGAAGTCCCTGGTGTAGAGCTGGCGCCAGAATCTGAGTAAAAGCTTCTTCTTTGTTAGATGATGGGACTGGCGAGTCTGAATGACCCCAGGCACGGGACACTTTCATTGTGGTGCTAGAGGCAGTCACCTCAAGAAGTTCTTTTTGAAACCAAAAGTTGAATAAGCCCCGGTTCAGTTCCTTCTGCCTTCTGATTGCGAAGCCTGGAAGCTGACCACAGCCTTCCTCCCTTCAGGGAGAATCAGAAACCTGTTCTCTTCTGCCTTCATTGTCTAGGAAATGAAATGAAATCACCTATGAGGATTTTCTGACCTCACTTCCCTGTTTGCCTGGCTGTTCGTTCTCAGACTGTCCCTGATCAGTGATGGATGCCGTCAACGCCAAACCCTAGCCAGGTGGCGCATGTCAGAAGACAGAGGTAAGCCTATTTCTGAGTTGTGGTCTAGAGGTGCCATGCTCTGATTGGCTCTTGATCTGAGAGGGTAGATCTGGCGACTCTGGAAGGCCAAGAGGGAGGGAGGGACAGTTCCTATTGAACAAAGTGAATGCTGGGTAGAAAAAGCTGCAGTGTTCTCTCCTCATCTTCCTTCCCTCTCTGCAGCTGCTGGGCAGTGCAGTTGATTTAGCACCTTGCTCTGGAATGAGAATAGTTCTGAGACGACACCAAGATCTCCATTCCCTTGTGTTTCTGCCAGCTCCCAGCGACCCAAAGCCCTGACTGACGCTACCTTGTGAAATGATTTCTCCCTGTGTCGGGAGCTGAGCCCCTGGCCTGCGTGCTAGACTAGCCCTCCGCCACTGGGTCGGCTCACACCCAGCCCTTCTCCACTATGGTTGGCTATTGTGCCACAGATATTACAGAGGCTGAGGCAGCTATGAGGACCGCAATTAAAGGCCAGCCTGGGAAACAAAGTGTCTCCAAAAGAAATTAATTCCCCAGTGTAATAGGAGCCCATACTGGTGGTGACGGTAAAAGTTTTATTTTGTTTTTGAGACAAGGTCTCTCTACAGAGCCCTGACCTTCCTGGAACTCACTTTGGAGACCAGGCTGGCCTCCAACTCATAGAGGCTCACCTGTCTCTGCCTCCTGGAACTAAAGGCATGCACTCCTGTGCCAGGCTCTGTGAGTATCCCTGAGGGGCCTGCCTAACCAGTGAGCCCTGAAAAGGGACCAGAATTTTGCTGGCCAAGCAGACACAAAGTGTGAAGCAGTTCAACACAGGGGCATTCTCTGATCCTCGCTCGACCTTATTATTTGGATTTTTAAAATTAACTTATGTCCAGTGTTTTGCCTTCATGTATGCCTGCTGTAAACCATGTGCATGCCTGGAGCCTGCAGCGGCCAGAAGAGGGCGTCCGAGTCCCTGGAATTGGAGTTAAGAGTTCTGAGCTGTCCCGTAGATGTGGGAATAGAACCTGGATGCTCTGGAACAGCTGGTGTCCTTAACTGCTGAGCCACTTCTTCCAGCCCTGACCGGCTTTAAATCAGAGGAAGCAGGTGGCCAGAAATGTGGGAGTCACAGTAACCTGTGGTTGATAGCCAAGAAGGAAGCAGGGACATCTGCCCTGCAGCCACATGGAAGTGATTTCTGACGGTACTTGGGAGGTGACCTCCCTTTAGAAGCTCCAGAGAACTCAGCCAGAAGCTCAGCTTCTTGACAGAAATGTTGTCTATGCAGCACCAAGTGTTTTACCCATGGGTCTGTGCGTCCATGAACGTTGTCTTAGGGGGAACTTGTCTTGAGTGCCCATAGTGTGGTAATTGGCTGCACGGCAACAGAAGGCAAACCCACTCCCTGAGAGCTGGTAAGTTTTGCAATTAGGGAGGTTTCTCGTCAGTCATCATCACCTCAACAGGACCTGGAACACTGTCCCAGAAAGACCGATATCCTACTGCTCAGGAAGGGGGAGGGCGAGAACCCAGCTCTTCATTATCCCATCAGCCAAGTCCCTGCTCACAAGGGTCCCACGTCACTGCTCTGCTGGGCTTTCCATGAGGCCTGGGCCACTCAGGCCCAAGAGAGAGCATGGCCAGTTTCCACCTCCAAGGCTTCTGAGACCTTTGCCCAGCTCTATTGATCTTCACCCATGGGCAGGCAGCGGGACAGTCAGTAGACGCCATGACGGCTCTGTTGCTCCTGGGGTCCCTGCTGCTGAGCCTGGACTGGACACTTTCGGTAAGGGCTGTGGACACTCGGAATGGACCCGGATGACACTGAGGGGGCTCTCTCCCAGCTTTGGCCTCTGCCTGTCACCTGCTAGTTCTGGCGACTGGGAGGATTTGTGTGGGGAAAGGCACAGTCACCCGGAAGGCCCAAAGGAACTGGTATCCTATGCTGGTGGATATGAGGACACAGGCTGGACACAGGCTACATCTGAGGAGGAGACAATGGGAAGAGGAAGGAGGGCCAAGTCTTGGAAGGAAATCCTATACTGTGGGGAGGTGGAAGGAGGCTGGGCCTAACAGAAGATGGAGGAGAGTAACGCTGTAGGTAACACTCCTGCCTCCTCTCCTGTAGGCTCCACCATGGAAAGGCATCAAGGAGTTCAAGCATGGAGCTGAAGAGCCCACTGTGGGTAAGTGACATGGCGCTTCTTCCTAACCTACCCAGTAGTGGGGTCGGTGAGTTTCAGCCTGCACGGTCTCCACCCAGCCTCAGGCCTCTGGAGCAGAGGAGGCATCCTGAGCAAAGCTATTCGGTTGGTATTTGACCTGAGTGCTGACAGATGAGAGCCAGGTGTGTCCAGAGGGCAGGGCTTCGGCTGGACTGGATGCCCGTCTGAAGGCCTGGCGGGGGCTCCAGCAGTGTGGGAGTTGGGGGTCTGCTACCGATGCCATCACCCCTGCATGCTCACCAGTCTCCCTTGGTTCCTCCATCCTCCTTCCTGTCAAGTAGCTGACAGCACCTCAGACCCACCCAGGGCCACAGACACCCCAAATGTCTCCAAACCCCAGCTTTCTCTCTCTGCCTCACTTTCCCTGTCTGTAAACCAAGTCGGGTAAGAGTGAGTCCCTCAGGGCTACTGGGAAGGGGAAATGGGTTACTGGTCCTTGTAAGCCAGTCCACCCCAAGGCCATGCCTAGGAAATGCCTTGAAAACCTCGGTTCTTACTCTAGGCTGTAGCCCACTGGCAGATTGCCCAGTGTGCACACAGCCCAGGGATTGATCTGTGACACCAAGGAAAGAAAAAACAAAACAAAACAAAACTAGCCAGGTGTGGTGGCGCACACCTGCTATCCTGGCATTTAGGGAGGCAGAGGCAGGCAGATCTCTGTGAGTTTGAGGCCAGCCTGGTCTACAGAGAGAGTCCAGGACAGCCAAGGCTACACAGAGAAACCCTGTCTCAAAAACAAAACAAAACAAAACTTAACTCTTAGTACATTTGACTTAGGTGAAGGGCTCCTACCACCCACCCCCACCCCAAACCCTGCCGTAGGCTTGTGAACCTGTGGGTTCAAACTGAAGCCTGTGGTGGAAGCCTGACACAGCATGACCTCCAGCCTTTGCCCTTCCCCTCACACAGCCAAACAGCCCCTTTCATCCTGGCCCAGCAGTGGTCACCTGTCTTAAAGGCCTAGGTTCCTTCTCCTTAGTACCCTGTTGCTACAATGCCACTAAAAACAAAATACCAACAAATGTTTTCGGAGGACACCTTAGGCTCTGGGCGTAGTGGCCCAGGCGTTGCCACTAACCTCCACAACGTTCCCCTGGCACAGACACTTCTTTTTCTTTTTTTTTTTTTTTTTAAGATTTATTTATTATTTATACAACATTCTGCCTGCACACCAGATCTTATTACAGATGGTTATGAGCCACCATGTGGTTGCTGGGAATTGAACTCAGGACCTTTGGAAGAACAGTGAGTGTTCTTAACCTCTGAGCCATCTCTCCAGCCCTCTTTTTCTTTTTGAGATATAATATAGTCACATTATTTCTTCCTTCTCTCTCCTCCCTCCAAATACTCCCATATCCCCAATGCAGTTATTTCTTATGATTAATTATACTCTACACAGCCACCATGAACATTAAATTCACAAATGTGTTAGGGTCTGAGCCTCTGGCTGGGACATCTCATCAGTTATTAACATGTAACCTTGTTTCATATGGATTCTGCTTAAGATGTGATGCTGACCTCATGGCCAATCCCACGGAATCGCTGTCCGCTTGTTCTCCCTCAAGTGCTGGGGACTGAGCCTGGAGCCTTGCACATGCTAGGCAAATGCTGGGCCACTGAGCTAAAACCCTAGCCCTCTTTAAAAATTGTGTGTGTGGGGGGCAGAGGGTAATGTTTAAGAGCTTCCTCCTCTCCTGTGCTGTGTGCTCTGGGCTGGCTTTCTCCTGTTGAGATGGTCTCCTCTCTCCTGTGCCGTGTACTCTGGGCTGGCTTTCTTCTGTTGAGATGATCTCCTCTCTCCTGTGCCGTGTGCTCTGGGCTGGCTTTCTTCTCCTGTTGAGATGGTCTCCTCTCTGCTGTGCCGTGTACTCTGGGCTAGCTTTCTTCTCCTGTTGAGATGGTCTCCTCTCTCCTGTGCTGTGTACTCTGGGCTGGCTTTCTTCTCCTGTTAAGATGGTCTCCTCTCTGCTGTGCTGTGTGCTCTGGGCTGGCTTTCTTCTCCTGTTGAGATGGTCTCCTCTCTGCTGTGCTGTGTGCTCTGGGCTGGCTGGGCTGTGAATATCCAGGTGATGCTCCTTCACTCACCACCCACCTTGCTGTAGGGCGTGCCAGGATCACAGGTGCTTGTCACTGCGTCTGGCTTTTTATGTGGGTTCCGGAGATCAAATTGGGTTTGTCAGGCCTGCCCAGTGAACACTTTTCCCCAGTAAGCCATCTTCCAGGGCCCCTGGCCCTCTTTTTGTTTTTATTTGAGACAGTTTCTCCAAATTTCCCAGCCTGCTTTGAACTCACTCTGTTGAACTAACAATTTTAAGCAGGCCTTGAACTTGCTGTCCTTCTGCCTTAGCCTCCTGAGCAGTTGGCCTCACAGGCATGTGCCAGCAGGGACCAGCTGCTTGAAATTGATTCTAATGAAAAGGTCACCCATGAAAAATGAGAAGTTCTCAGCCCAGGTCTCTGTGAATCTAAGGCTAGGACATTCAGAGCTATGTAAGAAAGAGACCTGTCTCAAAAAAGAATGAGAGAGAAACTTTAGCAGGACAATGGTGCCACTTGCCTTTAATCCCAGAGTCAGAGGCAGGTGGATCTCTGAGTTCAAGGCCAGCCTGGTCTACAGAGGACAGCCAGGGCTACACAGAAAAACCCTATCTTGAAGAGAGAGAGAGACAGAGAAATACGCAAACAAATATTCTTTTAATTAATTACATTTAAACATTTAATGCCTCTCTCGGTAGGGCCTCGAGCTCATAGAGACCCACTTGCCTCTGCCTCCTGAGTGCTGGGATTGAAGTCAACCGCCACCTCTGTCCCACTGACCTACTGACCCACATATTTTAACTGCAACTTTGTAACAAGCTCCTGGCTTTCAGGTTTGCTCAAGGTCTCCCAGCCCCCAGCGCTGGAGTCAGAAATCTATTCCAGCTGCCTGACTCTAAAGGCCAACTTTCTAGCAGGATGCCGCCTTAACTGAGAAGCCGTTCTTTGGAGGACTCTCCCTTTTCCCGCGGGCCGGGAGGTGGGGCTGGGCGGTTGGTCATGGGCCCTGTCAGAAGTGTGTTGTTCCCACAGTGTTCACTGTGGACGGGAAGCTCTGCCACTTCCCCTTCCAGCACCACCGCCGCCTGTACCACAAGTGCACCCACAAAGGCCGGCCCGGCCCCCGGCCCTGGTGAGATTTCCAGGAGCGGCTGGAGGAGGGCCTGGGTGAAAGGGTCCGCCTACCTGTCACCTGTCTTGGGGTTGTTTGGTCAAAGGCGTGTGTGCCGGGTGTGTGTGTGTGGTGGTGGGCCCTGAGGAGGGCTAGCCGGCCTCGGGCGATGCATGGAACCTCACCTGTTCCCCCAGGTGTGCTACCACCCCCAACTTTGATGAGGACCAGCAATGGGGGTACTGCTTGGAACCCAAGAAAGTGAAAGGTACTGCACGCTAACCCTGGGTGGCCCAAGGCTGTCGCCCGCCCCCTCCCCAGTCCCACCCACCTAGGCATGGTCAGACCCCACACACCCGGGAATCTGGGCCCAGCCGCTTCCCTTCTCCCACAGCATCCTTTAAAACTCAGGACAGTTCTGGGGAAAGAGCCCAGCATTTACACACACGCTTGAGGACTAGAAGCTTGGGTTCTGGGTCCCACGAGAAGCAGGTTTAGACTCCCTGTCCATTGGTGTCACTCGCAGACCACTGCAGCAAACACAGCCCCTGCCACAGAGGAGGGACATGTGTGAACACCCCCAACGGCCCGCGCTGTCTTTGCCCCAAACACCTCACCGGAAAGCATTGCCAGAGAGGTAAGGGGGGCCGCTTCCCAACGAGAGGTCCCGTGGAGCTCCGGAGCTTTGGCATGGTCTCACTCTTCTCCTTTTGCCCCCAGAAAAGTGCTTTGAGCCCCAGCTTCTCCAGTTCTTCCATGAGAATGAGATGTGGCTCAGGGCTGGGCCGGCGGAGGTGGCCAGGTGCCAGTGCAAGGGTCCCGAGGCCCACTGCAAGCCGCTGGCCAGTCAGGGTAAGGGCGTGGGGGGCCGTCCCCCGGGGGAGGCTGGGTGACAGCGGGCTCAGGCTGCTCCTCCCCCAGCCTGCACCACCAGCCCGTGCCTGAACGGGGGCAGCTGCGCGCAGGTGGAGGGCCGCCCACTGTGCCGGTGCCCTACGGGCTACGCCGGACCGTTTTGCGACATCGGTGAGTGGGAGCCCAGGGGGAAGGGCTGGCGGAGGCGGGTGAGGGAGAAGGGAAACGAGAACGGGGAGCCACCGACGGCGCGTCCGCTGACTGCGGGGAGCCCCCTCTCTCTAGACACCAAGGCGACCTGCTACGACGGCAGGGGCCTGGGCTACCGCGGCCGGGCTGGGGCCACGCTGTCGGGGGCGCCGTGCCTGCCGTGGCCCTCGGAGGCCACCTACCGGAACGTGACGGCGGAGCGAGCGCTGAGCTGGGGCCTGGGACAGCACGCCTTCTGCCGGTCCGCGGAGGGGCGGGCGGGCGGGCGGCTGCCCCGGGTCCCGCGCGCTGACGGCGCCCCTCCCGCTGCAGGAACCCCGACGGCGACGCGCGCCCCTGGTGCTACGTGTGGAGCGGCGACCGGCTGGGCTGGGACTACTGCGACCTCCCGCGGTGCGCGGCCCCGACGCCGGCGCCGCCCCTCGAGCGGCAGGACCTCCCGGCGCCCCGGCCCACGCCCCCGGCGCCGCCCGCGGCCGGCGAGCTGGACCCGGAGGCGGGGGAGGGGGCCCCGGGCGGCCCGAGGCAGGCGTCCCGGCTCAGCCGGCCTCTCCCCGCGGCCTCGCCCCTGCCTCACACCCGGCCCGGCCCAGCGGGCTGCGGGCAGCGGTCCCGCAAGCGGCTGTCGTCGCTCGGCCGCGTGGTGGGCGGCCTGGTGGCCCTGCCAGGGTCACACCCCTACATCGCTGCGCTGTACTGGGGCGAAAACTTCTGCGCCGGCAGCCTCATCGACCCCTGCTGGGTGCTCACGGCCGCCCACTGCCTGCAGAGCCGGCAAGCGCCGCCCTCGGGGACGCCTGGCACGCTCGCTCCTCCCACCCCAATCCCGCCGCCCCTCCCAGCTCCTCTCCGCCCGCTCCTCCCCCGCTCCTCCCTCCCCGTTCCTCCCAGCTCCTCCCCCGCTCCTCCCCATCTTCCCGCCCGCTCCTCCCTCCCCGCCCCGTCGGGCCACCCCCGGCGCCTCCCCGAGCACGCTGTCCGCCCCTCCCCGCCCGCAGGCCGGCGCCCGAGGAGCTGACGGTGGTGCTAGGTCAAGACCGCTGGAACCGGAGCTGCGAGGGGTGCCAGGCGCTGGCCGTGCGCTCCTACCGCCTGCACGAGGGCTTCTCCCCCGTCACCTACCAGCACGACCTGGGTGGGGTGGCCCTCGGGGGTGGGGGACGGCGGGGGGAGGAGGGCGGGACCCGCCTCCCCCGCTGACCTACCTCCCCCGGCAGCTCTGCTGCGGCTGCAGGGCAGCGCGGACGGCTGCGCCGTGCCGTCGCCTCACGTCCAGCCCGTGTGTCTGCCCGGCGGCGTGGCGCCCTCCGAGACGGCGCTCTGCGAGGTGGCCGGCTGGGGCCACCAGTTCGAGGGTAGGCACCACTGTGGGGCTGGCTGGGCCGTGGCCGTGCGCACTCTGGTGGCCCCTGCGAGCGTGGGGACACCTTCGCTGTTGCCTCCTGATGGGGCGCAGAACCAGGCGGGAAGGGCGTGGCTTGGCCCGCAGGGTGGCGGTTCGCCTCGGGGAAGCCACGCGGGGACTTGAGGCGACCACCGGCGGGAAGACATGGTCGGCTGCCTGCGTGTGCGTACGCGTGCATCTGTGCCTGGGGGAAGCCAGGCTGGGGCGCGGGTTGTGAGCCAGCGTGTGGGTGCTGGGAACCGAACCACGGTCCTCTGCGAGAACCGCGAGCGCCCCTAAGCTCCGAGCCACCCCTCCCCCTCAGCTTCCCAGATCTTCTCAGTGTAGCCCTGGCTGCCCAGGAACTATCCCTGTAGAGCAGGCCGGCCTCGAACTTACAGAGATCCGCCTGCCTCTGCCTCGCGAGTGCTGGGCGCCATCAAAGGCCGCTGCCCGGCTCAGCGCTCTCTCTTCCGGGCCCGGACGGCCCGGCCCGCTGAGGTTGGCAGCTCGCGCAGTGGCCGGGCCTGCTCACCTCGGTGATAGTCAGGACGAGGCCGACTTTCCGGCCGACCCCGTTGTCAGACTGCCAACAGAGACCCAGCGCAGGAGCACAGGGGCCCTTCTCCCGCGAGCCCTGGGCTCCAGAGCCGTAGCCGGGACTCTGTCCCCACGCTGGAGCCTGGGGGACTGTCTGGGGAGCCGGGCTCGGAGACCCCGCGCGGGGGAGGGCCGGGCCTCCTGTGCCGCCGCCGTTCCCGGCAGGCCGCCGTGCGCAGCCGCGCCACGGGGTCGGGACGCCGTGGGGCCGCGGGGACCTGAGCTCGGCCACGCCGGCTCTTTCGCAGGGGCGGAGGAGTACGCCACCTTCCTGCAGGAGGCGCAGGTGCCCTTCATCTCCGCCGAGCGCTGCTCCAGCTCCGCCGTGCATGGAGCCGCCATCCTGCCCGGGATGCTCTGCGCTGGCTTCCTGGAGGGAGGCACCGACGCCTGCCAGGTCGGCCCTGGGCTGGGGGCCTGGAGGGCTGGGGGCCCGGGGGCCTGGCGTCCTGGGGGTGCCGGAGGCCCGGGGGCCTGCGGTCCCGGGGCTGGGGACCTGGGGGCCTGGCTTCCTGGAGGGAGGCACCGACGCCTGCCAGGTCGGCCCTGGGCTGGGGGCCCGGGGGCCTGGGGGGCGCCTGTCAACCACGGGCCGACACCACGAGCTGCCTACCCCCCAGGGCGACTCCGGGGGTCCTCTGGTGTGTGAGGAGGGAGCTGCAGAGCCCCAGCTCACTCTGCGAGGCGTCGTCAGCTGGGGCTCGGGCTGCGGGGACCGCAACAAGCCCGGCGTCTACACTGATGTGGCCAGCTACCTGACCTGGATCCGAGAGCACACCGCTTCCTAGCCGGGGTTGATCTCTCCCGTGCGCCCCTGCGAGGGCAGGGTGGCCCACAGTGACGCCGGTGCCCGGGGGGCAAGGGGCACAGAAACTCAATAAAGTGCTTTGGAAACGGCCCTCAGAATGCTCTCCCGAAAGGCCTCATGGGAGCACAGCTCCCTCACCGCCTGGACAGGGGAGCTGGCCAGATGGCCGTGAGCGGCCTAGACTCCTGCCTGGGCCGCCACGTCTCCTCGGCCTTACTCTGTGCCAATGCGGGTGCGAGGTGGCCCTGGAGACCGCTCCTCAGTACTCCCTAATTCCGTGTCCATCTGATAACAGGCTCTCAGCCTAAACCATATTCTTCCGCGTCCCCCAGGGAGCTTTGGAGCCGCGGCTACCTGAGTCAGTGAGCTGGGATCTTCGGGGAAAGGCGGTTGTGAGTGTTTAAGACTGCAGGCGATTCTGTGTGGAGTGGACAGTGGCAGGTGCGCACGTGTGAGGCTGTCAGACCCGGCACCACCACTGGGGGTTTGTGAGGGTTTGTTGTTGAACTTTGAGCCTGGCACGGTGGTGCAAGCTGGTGGTCAGGGACGTCTGAGGCTGTATTCCGCACTACCCAAAAGTTGGGTAAGAGCCAGCAAGCCATAAGGCTTGTGGGACGCTTGCTAAAGTGAGTTGGTTTTTGTTTGTTTGTTTGTTTGTTTGTTTGTTTGGGTTTTGTCGAGACAGGTAGCTCTGGTTAGCCCTGGCCGTCCTGGAACTCACTTTGTGTCCAGGCTGGCCTCGAACTCACTGATCCGCCTGCCTCTTCCTCCCGAGCACCGAGCTCAAAGGTGTGCGCCATCACCGCCTGACTTTAAAGTGAGGTTGCTCTCCGTACAGGAGAGAAAACTGGCTGTCCGGACTAGCACCTTTCTCTTAAAAATGTCGTTCTACGAGCTGTCACCCATCTTCCCAGTGCTGAGACTGTAGGCGTGAATCATCACACCAGTTAGGCGGTGCTGGGCCTCAGTCCCAAAACTGTGCGCAATAGGCAGGCACCTTGTCAGTTTCGCGCTGCTGGTGGAGCTACAGTCCCAGCCCTTACACCCGCCTTGTTTCTGTGGGGGCTACTCCACCCCCCGTTTTTGGATACATCTTTTTTTTTTTCTTTGGATTTTCGAGACAGGGTTTCGCTGTGTAGCCCTGACTGTCCTGGATTTGCTTTGTAGACCAGGCTGCCCTGGAACTCAGAGATCCACCTGCCTCTGCCTCTCCAAGTGCTGGGATTAAAGGTGTTTGTCACTACACCCAGCTTTGAGTCTTTTTTTTAATAATTAAAAAGTTCTAATTTCAAGATCTTGTTGTGTATGTGTTTCTGTGCACATGAGTGCAGGTGCCCAAAGAGGCCAGAAGAGGGCATTGGTGAGCTTTTACCTGGGTGCTGGGACTTGAACTCTGGTCCTCTGTGAAGAGTTTGTGCTCTTCCAGACTTCTTTTGTTGTTTTGAATTTAAATTGTGTGTGTGTGTGTGTGTGTGTGTGTGTGTGTGTGTGTGTGAGAGAGAGAGAGAGAGAGAGAGAGAGAGAGAGAGAGAGAGGGAGAGCTTGCCTAGAAAAGCCAGAGTTGTCAGATCTCTCGGGAGTTGCAGGCTTTGCGTGCCGACAGAGGTGATGCGGGCACGGACCCCGGACCCCGAGTAAGAGCAGTAAGTGCCCTTTCTGAACAGGGGCCACTCCCCAGCCCTTCACCATCCTCCATTTCTCCGCCACTACTTTTAGAACCGCCCGCACGCTCTCCAGCTCGCTAGCTGTTCTGTGACGTCTGCCCGCGTCACAGCCCCCCTTCCCGGCGCTCTGGGCGCGCCCGCCACGCCTCTAGCGCCGCGCACGTTGTAGGGACGCACGCTGAGCGGAGATGGGTGACTGGAAGGGCTACATCAGTGCGGTGCTGCGGGATCAGCGCATCGACGACGTGGCCATCGTGGGCCACTCGGACAACCGCTGCGTGTGGGCGTCCCGGCCCGGGGGCCTGCTGGCCGCCATCTCCCCGCAGGAGGTGGGCGTGCTCACGGGGCCGGACCGCCACACCTTTCTGCAGACCGGCCTGAGCGTGGCGGGCCGCCGCTGCTGCGTTATCCGCGACCACCTGCTGGCCGAGGGCGACGGCGTCCTGGACGCGCGCACCAAGGGACTGGACGGACGCGCGATCTGCGTGGGCCACACGCCGCGGGCGCTCCTGGTGCTCATGGGTAGACGGGGCGTGCACGGAGGCGTCCTCAACAAGACAGTGCACGATCTGATTGGTGGGCTCCGGGAGCAGTGCTCCTAGCGGGGTAGCCGGCCGCCCACGGTGGTTGGGGAACCAGAATAAACCGTGAACGGGGCGCTGTGGACTCACCCTCTGCGCGCGTGTGAGGAGTGGCAGACAGGGAACCGGCCCCTGTGCCCCCTCCCGTGGTGGGCCCTGTGGAGGCCTCTGCCCCACAGCTATGGTAGCTCCTGGCGCCTGCTCGGGACCCCACACTGAGAACACTGGGGAGGTGAGTCCCCCCGCTCTACCGGGCTCTAGCCTTCTTTCTCAGAATTTTGCACACCTGAGGCACGGCAGTGGACGGGGTACCCCGCCTCCCCTCCCCGGCACACAGCAGCGAGGTCTGCAGGTGAGCGGCCCTCGGTACTGTTGGAGACTGGGGCTTAGGATACCCGTAGAAGGAACCCAGGCGCCCAAGTATCTTGTAGAAAATGACAGCGTTTGCACAGAATCGGACCCCGGTGTGTGAGCCCCAGCTGACACACTGAGCACACTGTAAAAGCCCCGTACGTAGTTACTGTGCTGCCAGGGGTGGACAATACTCTTTGCTTGCTTGCTTGTTTGAGACAGGGTTTCTCTGTGTGGCCCTGGCTGTCCTGGACTCACTGTGTAGACCAGGCTGACCTGGACCTTAGGGACCCACCAGCCTCTGCCTCCAGAGGCTGGGATTAGAGGCGTGCACCACCACTGGAACACTGATTTTAAAGCCCGTATATTATCAGCACAGGCGCAAGTTTCAGATCTTTTCCACCCACAGTTGTCAGCATCGGCCAGGGGACGGCCCACTGGATAGAGGGCGGGCGTGCTTCTGTCCGTCACGTGGTGCAAGGCTTGCTCCCACCAACGTCCTGAGGCCCTCCAGGCATCTGCACACGCACAGCCCGTGCCCACGCAATGTGCACACGTGGACTTCCACACCATCCGATGGTGGCACACCCGCCGCCTGATGCGTGTCTGTGTACTCTGCCCCTTAGCTACAAAATCCCTCCCCGCTGTGGCCCTGCACATATGGGCAAGGTAACCAAAGGTGGCACCGCCAGCGACGCGCTCGGCACGCGCATGCGCGCACACACCTCTGCCCCTGCACGGTGAGCTCCGTGAGAACCGCGTTGCCTGCTCCAGGCAGTAGTCTGGGCCCGCAGCCTAGAGGCGGGTGGCGAGGTGGTGAGCGGGCAGTGCCAGGCGGGGCGAGGGCGTGGCGGGCGGGAGCTCCTCCAGGAAGACTCTGGCGGGAAGCTGGGGTGAGCGGGGCTCAGGCCTGGCGCAGCACAGGGTGGCCCGTGTGATGAGGCGGTCCAGCGGCTGCAGGGAGCGCATCCAGCGCGGCAGGAAGTCCCAGGTCCGCAGCCACCGGGGCAGGTGCCCGGGACTTCGGCTCTGCAGGACGTTAACGAGCACCACGAAGGCCAGCAGGGCGCCGAAGGGCGCGCCCACGCCGACCATAGCCTGCCAGCCCGCCATGGAAATGCCAAACACCAGGGAGGGCAAAAGCAGGAAGCACACGAGGAGGTAGAGGACGGCGAACCAGCGGTACTTGGCGGTGCGTTTGCCCAGCGCCTTGGCCATGCGGATGGGCAGGCGCGTGCAGGGCAGCGGGTACCACAGCAGGATGCCCAAGATGTTAAAGAAGAAGTGGCAGAGGGCGATCTGCAGGAGGGAGGCCGGAAGTGATCAGGCCAGCGCAGTGGCTGGGTAATAGGCCCCACGTGAGCGGGGCCGGAGAAAACCTCTGGGGCTGATGGACTCCAGCCAGTCTGGGTTTTCAGACAAGCGTGCTGGGCGTTCCACGTGTGTCCTATTGACTGCCCTTCCGTCTACTCCTCAGCTACACCCCAGCAACTAAAGAGCTTGCCTCTCAGCCGGGCGCAGGAGCACATGTCTGTGATCACAGCACTCAGGGAGGCAGGGGCAGGTGGATCTCTGTGAGTTAGAGGCCAGCCTGGTCTACAAAGCGAGGCCAGGATAACCAAGGCTACACAGAGAAACCCTGTCTCAAAAAAAAAACCAAACAAATCTTGTCTTTCTAACACACCAGGCTGACTTGGAGCCTTTGGCCAAGGGTTCTCTTCCGTGTCTAACTCCATGGGGATCTGGCCAAGGAGGCCAGTGGACACCAGCGGACACCAGCATCGTGGTGGGATTACAGGCGTGTACTCCCATGCCTGACTTTAGCAGCCACTAAAGGTTAATTTCATTTCTGGCTTGCCCGCTCCTGGCTTCTAATTGGTCAGCATATCATCAGCTGTTTTGCTCCTGAGCAGACTCCCCGTGGCCGAGTTCCATGCACCCTTGGCCTCCAGACCCGGGCCGGGCCTCTCTGGCTGCACACTACCACAGTGTGGCCCCAACCGTTTACTGATAGAGTGTGGCACTGGCTCAGATTAGAGCCAGGGTCTTGAGAGCGGCCTGAAATCTGCTTTGTCCATAGCAATTTCCAGGGAGTGAGCGGCAACCTCAGCAGACTGATGTATGCCCCCACTGTTCCGCAGTGCCCTCATACCTGAAAGGAGCTGGGCAGCTTCTCCCTGGGGCTGGCCAGGGCTGCCAGAATGGCTGTGGTGGTGGTGCCGATGTTGGAGCCCAGTGTGAGCGGGTAGGCCCGCTCGATGCTGATGACTCCCAGGCCTGGCGGGCGGAGAGCGGGCGTCAGCCTCTCTAGCCCTTTCCCTGGGCACCCGCCCCGCTGCTGCCCGGCACTGGCACTCACCGATGAGTGGGGTCATGGCTGACGTGAACACAGAACTGCTCTGGACAATGAAGGTCATGCTGGCACCCACGACCATGGCAAAGTAGCCTGTGACCCAGGTGAAGGGGGCTGGAAAGTCTGAAAGGAACCCATGAGAGGCCGTGGGAGAACAGGCCTTGCTTTAGGGAAGAGGCGCTCTGGCGGTAGCTCCTCCGGGAAAACCAAACTGCCCCCTGCTCGCTTGTAACAGCTTCCCTTTGCCCTGCTTGCTCTCTTGAGCACAGAGCTTTCATACTCGGGCTATTCCACTCTCGTGTGCCACTGCTGTAGCTGCCCCAGCTGACGCAGGGTTCTCTTCCGTGTCTAGCTCCGAGGGGATCTGGCCAAGGAGGCCGGTGGACACCGGCATCGTAGCTTCTCTAAGGTAGTGAAGTGTTTGCCTGTTACAACGCACATGCTGCCGTGTGAGGCCTGTCTAGATCCATCATCCCAATACAGGGAGCCTGCGCCTGTCACAGCGGCTGAGCCCGATGACCTGAGCTGTACCCCGGGATGGGCATGGCAGAAGGAGAGAACCACCTGGTGCAAGTTGGGGTCTGACCTTCACACCGCACACACACGCCCACCCACACGCAGAATGGAGTGATGATTATTTAAAAAAAAAAAAAAAAAGCAGTATAACCGGGTGATGGTGCACGCCTTTAATTCCAGCACTCAAAAAGCAGAGGCAAGTGGATTTCTATGAGGTTGAGGCCAGCCTTGTCTACACAGTGAGTTCCGTATCAGCCAGGGCTGCCTTGTAAGACCCTGTCTCAAACAAACAAACAAGCAAGCAAGCAAGCAGACAAAAACATTACAAAGGCACAAAGATTTGTTTATGCTGTATGGTTTAAGGAAAAATTACTGTTCCGCTTCAAGGCAGATGCAGTTATTTTCTGAAATATTTTTGACTCGTGGCTGACTGGTCTGCAGATCAGGGTCTCAGGGGTGCACAGTACCCGCTGGCCCACCCCGAGCTCCTCCCTTTGCCCTTTCTGAGCCCCCAGAATGCCCTTCATAGTTTTATTATCAGTGTTGGGCCTGGAACCCCTGAGCTACAGGTTTGCTGAATGAATGCTTCATCACTGAGAAGTAGTTCTAGCCTTCACCTACTGGTTGTCTTATGTAAAGGGTTTTTTTTTGGGGGGGGGTGGCAGTGAGTTAAGGTTTCATTCTATAGTTCAGACTCTCAGTAATCCTCCTGCCTCAGCCTTCCAAGCGCAGGGATTACAGTTGTGAGTCACATCTGGCTTCCTCCATATTTATTTATTTCTCTCTGTGTGAAAGTCAGAGGTCAATTTTGTACATCTTTATCTCTCTGTGTCTTTTGGGGAGGGGTGTTGAGACAGGGTTTCTCTTTGTAGCCCTGGCTGTCCTGGAACTCTCCATTCAGACCACGCCTGGCTTCGACCTCCTAAAGACTTGCCGGCATCTGCCTCCCAAGTGTGGGATCAAAGGCGTGTGCCGCCACTGCCCTGCTGTCTCTTACCCAACCTGGATTTCATCAAGTGGGTGGACTGGCTGGCCAGTCAGACAGGGTATTCCCCTGTCTCCACCTCATAGCACTGGTAGTGCTGGCAGGCACCTGATCTCTGGCTTTTTATGTGCGTTATGAGGATCCGACTCGGGTTCTAAGGCTTGTAAGCAAACACAGAACTGGCTGAGCCAGCACTCCAGCCCTCTTCCAAGTTAATGTTAGTGGAGCGTGCCTTTAATCCCTGTACTGGGGAGGCAGAGACAAGCAAGTTTCTGCGTTCAAGGCCAGCCTGGTCTACATAGTGAGTTCCAGGCTAGCTAAAAGTATATACTGAGACCCTCCTTCCCCCTTAAAAAAAAAAAAAAAAAAAAAAAAGCTGGGTGGTGGTGGTACCTGCCTTTAATCCCAGCACTTGGAAGACAGAGGCACACAGATCTCTGTGAGTTAGAGGCCAGCCTGGTCTACATCGCTAGTTCCAGGACAGCCAGGGCTATACAAAAACAAAACAAAAACCTGTCTTGTTTGTTCAGACAAGGCCTCACTTTAAAGCCTGAGCTAGCCTCCAAATCCTCCTGTGTGCGGTTTTTGAGTGCTGGGATTCCAATCGTGTGCCACCCATCTGGGCCCTTCACACACATTTCACCCCTTCTGCAGGTCTCTGCTTGCTCAATGGTGTCCACAGAGAGCACCCAGCACCTACAGAAACAGCCTCGTCCGTTCTGTTGTGTTGCCGGATGGATTTCCTGTGTCCTCACTTATCTACTTTCCTTGCTTGTCTTCCCCACATGCCTTCCTTCCTCATCTACTGAGAATAAAGTGAGGGGCCCCCTGAGGAAGGCCCAGGTTTGGCTGGTGACAGAGATGACAGACCACCCAGGTCACGTGAGGAAGTGGTGGACCTGCAGATAATAACTAATTAGCCCTACTGCATTGTCGCCAATTGGGACACAGCCCAGCACAGCCTGGGTGCCTAGCTCTGTGAGGGATCTCACAAGTCTGAGATCCTGGGATCAAGGACCCGTCTCTCTCTGCCTCACTCCTGCCTCCTGCGGCACAGAGCAGGGGTTTACTGTCTGTTTGTTGGTTAAACAGAGGTTTCTAGGTAGACATGGTCATGCATGGTTGCCGTCCTTGCACTTGGGAAGTCAGAGCCAGAGCATCAGAAGTTCTGGACCAGCCTAGGCTGCATAGCAAGGTCTAAGGGCATCATGGCATCGTGAAACCATGCCTTGAAAAATCCAGAACAAATAAAATCAAAACGGGAGCCGTGCGTGGCGGTGCTCACCTTCAGGCCCAACACACTGATGGATCTCTGTGCGTTCAAGGCCATCCTGCTCTGTAAACTGAGTTCCAGGATAGCCAGGGCTATGCAAAGAAACCCTGTCTTGAAAACCCAAACCAAAGCAAAATGTGACTTCTCAGGATGCCCATCCACTAGATGATGCAACAGCTGGAAATGGTTGCCGTGTTCTGGGTGTTGGCATCTCCAGATGATGAGCCTCCAGGATGACCTGGCCCCAGCCCTTCTCCATTCTTAGGGAAAACTGAGGCTCAAGGATGATAGTGGTGGATTTAGAACCCCTGAAAGGGCTCGTCTGGGCCAGCTCACCTGTGTTAATGACCTTCTGGATGATGTTGGCCACTTGGCCCTTGAGCAGAGAGTTGAGCATCTTGACAAGGAGGATGAGACAACTGCACAGAACCAGCAGGGAGCCAGCCAGCAGGATGAGCCCCACAGCCAAGTCTGGCAGCCCCGTGTCCACAAAGATATGGTTGCCTGAAAGAGCAGTAGGAGGCCGCTGCATGCTTGCCCTGCTTCCCACCTGTGCCAACCCGCTAGGTGGCGAGAGTAAGACCCCCACACCAAGCTCCTTTAGCGTCTGTGCCAGGAACTGAAGTAAGCCCAGAGGTCAGCTGCCTTTCCTGCAGCCGGGCACAGCAGTGCCCAGCCCCAGGCATGACTCAGCTATGCCCTCCCCCACGGGTGTGGTAGGTACTCACATTTCTCCCTGGTGGTATTTGCAAGGCTGGCGTTGGCCTCTGCCCTGGACACAGAAGTGGAAGCCTAGATTCAGAGGAAGGTGACTTAGAGAAGAATGTAGAAGAGCGCAGCCTGGGGTAGGAGCAAGAGGGAGCTAAGAGGGGAGAGCTGGAGATGGGTTTCGGCTCTGCGATGACGAGCACGTTGCTTGCCTGCACTGAGCCCATTTCCTCTGTAGAGGAGGTGAGGTTGAAATGCTTCCCACTCAGGAATGCACCAAATATTCTACCCCATTACCCCCTGACCTGGCTACCCTTGGGACCAGGGGGACCCCAAATCACCAGTTCAGTAGCTTGTCTGGGTCCCTACTATCACCTCTCAGTTGTATCCACAACCCTTTCCTGAAACCCTTACCATCCTTGCCAGTTTTTACCAGTTCCTGTCTCCATGCCTTCTTCCTTAGTTCCTTCCCCATGGTCTCCCTAGAGCTCACCTAGCCCAAGAGTCATCCTGCCCTGGCTCAATGCCTTGCCCTTGGGGGTCCACGTGGAAGGAAGGTGGGTGAGGACAGAGGGTCTGGCCCCCACAGTTCTTTCTGGACCTTCTGTGAGGGAAGTCCCCAGGTCAAGGGGACAAAAGGCCGGTCAGGCGGTGCCCTAAATTATGGGCCGGGCTGCACATGAAGGTGGTAGGTCTGCAGAGACGGCAGATGCTCAGCTCCAGGTCTCTGCCACCATCCAGGGTGCGTCCCACAGTGGCCCCGCCACCTGTTCTAGAAGAAAAACCACAGTTCCGGAGCTTTCTGCTCAATTTCTATGCATTGTAGCTGCTCTGAGATACCTTTTTCTCTTCCTTCCTTCCTTCTTTCCTTTTTCTTTTCTCTTTTTTCCCCAGTACTGTGGATTGAACTTAGACACTCGCATATATTAGGCAAAAATTCCACAACTGAGCTACATCCCAAATTCTTATTTCTTTTTTTTTTTTTTTTTTTTTTTTTTTAATTTTGAGACAGGGTCTCACTAAATTGTCCCGATAGGCCTTGGGCTTGCCATGGTCCTGCCTCAGCCTCCTAAGTACTTGGGATTCATAGGCCTATGTCATTAGGCCTAAAGAGACACACTTTAAAGTTCTGGGAAGCGGAGCTCCCAGGCCGGCAGAACTGTCCTTCCGCTTTGTAGGGTACTAATCTGTAGCTTCCCTGGATGTTGCAAATGAAGCCCAGAGGCCTTATTTTCCCGCTGGCTCAGAGAATCCCACAGCTGTGATGGGAGGAGAGCATGGGTGTGGCTGTGGAGAAGCTAAGGTCACAGGCTCAGGCGAGGTGCTGCCATGCTGATGTTTATAGCTTCTTTAGGTTCTGCTCTAAACCACGTGTCATGTAAAGAATATATGGTCAGGCTGGGTTGGGCGAGTGACACAGCCCTTGTCTATACAGGCAGGGCCCTGGTTCCGTTCTCAACATCACAAAAGCAGAACCTGAACAGACCAAACAACAAACCCTGGTGTGATGATGGCAGGGTCTGGTTCTGGCGGCTGGTTCTAATGTGTGTTTGTGAGATGTGTTCCCTTCAGCAGGGCTGTGTGCCCAGCCCTTATTCCCACTTCTCTAAATCTGGGCCTTGGGGCACCATGAAGCCTGGAGGCCAGCACTCTAGGCAAGAAATCAGATAAAAATCATCTGCTAGAACAGAAATCTAGACAGGCACTTGAGAAGTTGAGGCAGGAGGATTGCCATGAAGTTAAAGACAGCCCAGACTAGAGTGAGATCTTGTCTTAAGAATAAAACAAGGGGCTGGAGAGGTGGCTCAGAGGTTAAGAACACTGGCTGTTTTTCCAGAGGTCCTGAGTTCAATTCCCAGCAACCACATGGTGGCTCACAACCATCTCTAGTGAGATCTGGTGCCCTCTTCTGGTGTGTAGGCACACATGCAGACAGAACACTGTATAAAACAAACCCTAGGCTAATGAAGCAAGGGGAACGCTGATCTGATAGGGAGAGAATGGCGCTTAGTCACAGGGAGAGCTAGGTGTTTGCTGAGTCCAAATCTGCTTTTATACCAGCTACCGGGGGCCATTCATACCACCTTTCCGAGCCCACTTAAACTGGGATAGTAAGGGGCTCCAAGGTTAAGAGCTCGGGTTGCTTTTCCAGCGGACCCAGGTTCACCTCCCAGCACCCACACGGCAGCTCACAGCTCTGTGACTCCAGTTCCAGGGGATCCCTCACGCTTACACAGACATACCTCCAGGTGGAACACCACTGCACATAAAAGAAATCTCCAGAAAAGATAAATTGGGATAATAGCAATGTAAGGTCACAGGAGAAAATCTGCATAAGCTCCTCGCTTCAGGGTCTGGCCTACTGCAGGCTCCAGGTGACCTGAGCTTCCTGGATGGGACACTGACCACTTCCCTTCTGGAGCTCCTGCAAACACACTTGTGCATCCCAGCCCTTTGGGGAGGGGTTTGGGGGGCCTTCCTGGAGGCTGCCAAAGCCCTGGGAAGCAGACGACCTGAGATGTGTATCTGCTTCACTGGCCTTCTCTGAGCTGCATCCTGGAGCCTCCTAGGGATAGGATTTGTGGACCTTATAGAGGCCAGAGGGGGGTGAGGAGCTTGGCGTTGGTCCTACCTTAGGGTTGACTGGGCAGGGCAGGACAGGGGGCTGGGGATCCTGTTGTTTATTTGCATTTTGGGGCTAGAGGTTGAACCTTGACCTCATTCATCACCCTCCCATGGGGTTCTGGGACCTTGACCTTTCTTCCTGGAGATGTGGCCTTAGCTGAGCCCAGAAAGGGAATCAGGGCCCCCAAAGTTTAAGAGGGGACTACAGAGACAGCAGGAGTGACTGGGAGGGTCCACCATCAAGCCAGGCCAGGAGGCATGGAGGGGAGAGACCCTTTGGGGAGATCTTACAGGGCAGAGGAAAAGCTAGCAACTCTGGCCTAATTAGCAGAGTTGGGAGCCCGAGCTGGTCATGTGCCCAAGATGTGTCCATCCTGTCTGGGGTAGAGCAGAGATTGAGGGAGTGGAGTGGAAACGTTAAAGGGAAAACAGCAAACGTGTGCCATAGCCCCAGGCTCACGCTGTGGCAGAGTCGCCCTCAGTTGTGTGACACGGAGCTGCACCTACAGTCAACCTCCTGGGCTTCGGTTGTCTCCCAACACAAGGTCCCTAATGCCATCTTCTGTTCCCCACAGGCTCTTGAGAGCATCTGGGAAGAGGGAGTTGGTGTTTAAGAGCCTTCAGGGACACCCTAGATGCTTCTGGGAACTGAAGAAGGTGATTAAGTTCACAAAGGGCCCTTCCTCAGGAGGGAACCGCAGAGGATGTGGGCTTGCACAATCGCTTTCCCTCTTGGGGTATGGTAGCAGTGGAGCCTTTGTTCTCCTGGAAGCAGGAGCGCCCTGGGCCAGCAGCGCCATCTGGTGGCTGAAATGAGAACGTCTCAGCGCATCTGCAGTCCGGTTGCCGGGGGCGGAGAGATGGGTACAGATTGGAGGCGCCTCAGGCCACAGTCTGTAAGAAGCAGCTGCATGAGGAGTTAGGATTCTGTCAGGATCGAGACTTCTCCTCCGTTAGAGGACCATAACCCAGGCAGCCGCTGCGCCTGTCCGAGGGAGGCTGTCTGCTATCTCAGAGTGGGGGTGTAGTAACAGCCGTCCCCAGCAGCCATCCGCCAGAGATGCTGTTTAAACCAGGAGGTACAGTTGTCAGTTGACGTGTGACTCACAGGTGGGCTACCAAGGTTAACACCAGCTCCCTGGTCGTCCAGAAGTGTCCAACACTCAAATGGCCTGTTTTACTTTCCCTGTCTGGAGAGCTCCTACCCTGCCCTGGGTGGCATCTGTCCTCTGGAGACTGGTTTAATCAATGTCTGGTCCAGTGTGGTAAAGGCTGACAGCCATGAAGAGTTGAAAAAAAGGAGGGGGGGACTTTGAGGCCAAAGAGGGGGTGGTGGTAAAAAAAAAAAAAAAAGGAGTCACCAAAGCACAGCCCAGGAGCACATGAGGCGGCTGAGTCATAGTCCTGCAGGGGACGGGGCCAGAGGGAGGCAGGAAGGCAGGGCCCTCAGATCCAGCCTTACCTCCAAGCCAAGTGATGCAACCTGCTGTTACACAGAAAGGTTTCTTGCTGGGTCGGGGACCTGAAACCCTGGCAAGCAACCGCTGAAACATCAAAGAGCCTCAGGCCCAGCTGAGGGAGCTCACGGTTACCTCACACGACTGAAGCGTCCTGTCTGTGTAGCGTGGCTCACCCGGCCAGTCTTGCTCTTGGGAGTACGGTAGGCGAGGAGGTTCACTACAGGTAGAGACTTGCCCAGGACAGATGGCAGGCTGGAAATCTCTCCGAGGCTTTTCTTCTTCTCAGATCAGTGTGTGATTTCTCCTCCTCTATCTGGGCTGCGATTTGTGAGGCCACAGTGAGTCACAGGGCTTGCCTGAGAGTGCCGGAGAGCTCAGGAGAAGGTAGCTGACATGTCAGGGAGATCACAGAGCCAGCATCAAAGCTGTCCACGTGGGCTTTTTATCGTCAAGCTGCCTTGAACTCCCAGAAGCGCAGAGCTGGTGCTGTGTGACGCTCAGGACATCACAGGCCGAGTTGATGGAGTATTTTCTGTGAGTGCCGCTGTAAGGTCTGGGACCATTCCCCGGTGTGTGGGGGGGTGGGGGCTGCAACTCCACAGTGCTCTTTGGATTTCCCCGTAGCTTTTCTAAATGGAGCCATTTCTCGTATGTAATAATTAAGGAGAAGCAAATTTGGAGGACTGTGGTTTGGTGAGGTGTTTTCTTCCTTTTATGGCTGAGTGAGAAAGTGTAATCGCCCACTTGCTTTCGCCTAATCGCCTGGCTATTATGCCTTGTACCATAGGCCTAGTGGCTGATCCATGAATGCCCAACGAACGCCCAACCAATCTGAGCGGTCCTTCTCGCTGGGCAGTAGAAGGAGCAGAAATAATGCAGCAGGATAAGGGACTCGTGGCTCTGGGCGAAAGAGCCCCCGCCAGCACCTGGTAACCACTGTCCCTCAGGGGGCCACCAAGTGTGAAAGCCACTTTCTCGCTCCCTAGCCAGAATCCTGGGGTCCAATTTTCTCAGTATCTCTGTAGCTCCCTCCCCTCCCCTTCTCTGCTCATGTCTCTAGGCAGTACTGTGAGGCTGGCCCCAGTGTCCCCATAGCAGGGTAGTCCCAGGCAAGTTAGCCTTCTGCAGCCTGTGAAGCTAAAGGGTTAAGCTTGAGCCATGGTTTCCAAACTTGAGCACGGGGAGTTGGAGGGCAAGTTGGAGTTTGGGCACTGCGCCATTCCTGTCGATTTCCTTCTGACTCAGTTGGTCTAGGAAGGATGTACAGGCACTATGCAGCAGATTCTCTTTACTCTATGTCTAGTTTTCATCTTTAGTCGGTTCCTGGGTGGTACTGTCGCTGTTTGTCTGAGGAACAGCAGCTTTTTGAAAACCACTGGGCCAAAGTACAGTTGCACTAAAGTACAGTTGATGTTTGCTCGAAGCAGTGTGTGCGGCCCAGTGGGACTCCAGTGTTTGTCGCGGGTATAGCGGCGTAGGAAAGGCGTACACACAGGCTCTCTCCTCACTAAAGGATCCCCAAGGCCTATGAAACAAACAGGCAACTGTCTAAAGAAGGTGGAGGGGTCATCTTACCGTACTCCGAAACTCACCTCTGTTGGGTCTGGGTAGCACCAAATCCGGATGAGACTGTGATTCCTCAGGGACTCGTCCCCCACAGCAATGCTGGTGATCACAGACTTGTCCAGCTGGAGCACGATGTCGAGAGAGAGACAGAGAGACAGACAGATAATCAGACAGAAGAGAGGGAGACAGACAGAGACAGAGACAGAGCCAGACAGAGACAGAAAGACAGAGAGAGACAGAGATAGAGAGACAGAAAGACAGAGAGAGGCAGAGATATGGATGTAGACAGGGATACTCACTATTCCAGACCTGTCCACCCCATGCTGGGTCCCGTCCCTCACCTGAATGATGAGCCTTGTGAAGGGTTCTGTGATGACCTTGAGAAGGTCAGGGGCATCGCGGCCACCGCGGATGTTGAAGGAGGCAACCACAAGCGCAGTGAGACGGTGCAGGCAGCCTGTGGCGGCCTCCAGCGGCAGCAGGGCCAGGACGGACAGCCAGTTAAAACAGTCGTGCACCGTGGCCCCTGCAAAGGCCCTGCACAGGGGCGCCACGTTGCAGGGCAGCTGGACCCGCGTGCCCACGCTGAGGGCCTGGCACCCAGTCCTGCCCCCTCCCCGGCAAGCGCTCGACCCCACTCACCGCCTGAAGTCAGTCCTGTCCCCCGCCTGCATCAGCGCCACGATGGTGTTGGTGACGGAGGTGCCGATGTTGGAGCCCATGATGATTGGGATGGCAGAGCTCACCTCCAGCACTGGCCAGAGAGGAGCCTCTCAGGTGACTCGGCCCTAACCACCGGCCAGGCCCAGGCCCAGGCCCAGCCCCAGCCCCAGCCCCAGCCCCAGCCCCAGCCCCAGCCCCAGCCCCACCGGCCAGGCCCAGCCCCAGCCCCAGCTCCAGCCCCAGCCCTAGCCCCAGCCCCAGCCCTAGCCCCAGCCCCACCGGCCAGGCCCAGGCCCAGCCCCAGCCCCAGCCCCAGCCCCAGCCCCAGGCAGCCTTTTCCAGTGTACCCTGGCTCCCTCGGCTGAGCCTCACAGGTCTTTGTGTGCATGAGCTGTGTAATTATGCATGTGTGAGCATACCTCTATCTGGCAACACGAACGCACTCTGGCCAGGGTACACCCATGCATTAGGCAGGGTGAACTTGTGAATAAGAGTGAATTTTGAAAACTCACACCTTGTGCTGTCCACAGTTTGTGCAAGTGTGAGGGTTGGTTTTATGTGTCAACTTGGCTAGCCTGCCTATGACATCCAGTTGACTTTAAGTAAAGATTATTCTTGTGCGTGCACACACATGTGCGTATTCGAGGGCACATCTATCTGTGTGCACACGTCTGTGTGTGTGTGCGTGTGTGTGTGTGAAGATGCGGAGGCCAGAAGCATTCAAGCGTCCTGCGCTATTGTTCTCTGCCTCATTATCACGTGACAGCGCCCCTTGCGTAACATGGCGCTGGGTGTCAACCAGCAGGGCAGCAATCTGCCCCTGCCCCCTCCTGTGTGCCCCTGTGCCCAGCCTCTGTGAGCGCCGGAAGTTTAGCGCCTTCCCAGCATGGAGCAGGCCCTCACCCACTGGGGCTCCTCAGCCCCAGGTAAGGGAGATTATGCCCACTGGTCTGGGCAGGCCTCATCCAGGGAGGTGCAGGAGCCTCCAGTGTAAAAGTGATGCTTCCTGCGGCTCACAGGCCTGGCTTCTGCCTGCACGCCTAGCCTGCCCTTCCAAATCGCTCACTCCTAAAGTGTCAGACTTGAGCGCCCAGCCACACGGTCATGAAAGTCAATTCTTTGCAATAAATCGCATGTCCCGTGATGGTTTTTACGGACTGATTTCCTCTGGCTTTGCTGTGTGGCTGTGTGGGTGGGTGGAGGTGAGCCTCCCAGGAGCCATGCTCCCCTGTCATGCTCCCCAGCTCCTGGAAGCCCCTCTTGCTTTGGAGACAGTGCAGGAGATGCTGGAGTCCCACTTGCCCTCAGTCTCCTGCCCACACTTCTGCCCTCAGCCTGAAGTACCAGGCCTTGCACTGTCCCTTGCACTGTCCCTCCAGGCCCTGCACTGTCCCCCAGGCCCCTGCACTGTCCCCCAGGCCCCTGCACTGTCCCTGCACTGTCCCTTGCACTGTCCCTCCAGGCCCTGCACTGTCCCTGCACTGTCCCTGCACTGTCCCTGCACTGTCCCTTGCACTGTCCCCCCAGGCCCCTGCACTGTCCCCCCGGCCCCTGCGCTGTCCCCCCGGCCCCTGCACTGTCCCCCCAGCCCCTTCGCTGTCCCTCCAGCCCCTGCACTGTCCCCCCAGCCCCTGTGCCTTCCCTGCTCATGCCAACTCACAACCAGAGGACACCATGCTGACGATGATGGAGGTGGAGGTACTGGAGCTCTGTACCAGCACAGTCACCAGAATCCCCACCACCAGCCCCGCCACTGGGTTGGACAGGATGGCATTGTCCTTGAAGATGTCACCGGCCACCTTCCCTGCAGAGCATGAGCCAGCATCAGCGGGGGTCCTTCTAAACCCCTCCCCTGACCTCCCCACCCGGGCCTACCTCCAGCCAGCTGGAAGGCAGAGCTGAGCACGTCCAGAGAACAGACAAAGAAGTAAAGGAAAGCCAGCATGAGGGGCACCTTTAGGAGCTTCGTGCCAACCTGGGCAAGCTTTTGGAGCAGCCTGGGCTCTGGGGGTGGGGACAGGCATGAGCTCAGTGGGCAGGGCATGAAGGCAGTGACTGTCCATGCCCCTGACGGCCCCCAACCTGGCCCACCTGGCTTTTGCTCCTCTTCCTGGGCCAGCTTGGCAGGTAACGGCTCATGGCACTCCAGGACCTCCCCATAGGGACAGCTGTGCTCTGTGAGGGTCACCGGGCTCAGGCTGGAGAAGGTGTAGGTGGGCGTCCCTGGAATCCTATGCAGGACTGAGGAGGGAGCTGATTAGGTGTCACCAGGAGAGACAGGCAGCAGGACGTAGGCAACCAGGGCGAGCAGGCCTCAGGTGTGGGAACAGCACTCACCCTGTGGACTGGGCACATAAGCAAAGGCTGCCCCGTGCACCACATGTCTCCCACGGACTGGAAGTGGGGAGACAGCTGGTCCCCCCAGTCTCTCTCCATAGGACATCATGCTGGGCCCCACACCGAGTCCTACATATCAAGAGGTTGGAGCAAATCTGATAGTTGCTGTGTCTGGGACACATACCCACACAGGTGACATCCACCTTAGGGCATGTGATTGTGTCTATTCTCAGACACACCTGGAGAACCATGCCCAGGAGCTTGTCAAGGACCTGAGCCACAGTTCAGCCAGGTGTTGTAGCTGTTTGGCTTTGCAGTGCTGGAAATGGGCCCTAGGGCCTCGGCATAGCGGGCACGCTATGCTGGGCTGCACCAAGGTGGGCTCAGAAGGGATAGAGGACAGGAGGATCGGAAGGGAGGAGGAGAGACAGTTGGGTCTAGGAAGCACCCCAGCCCCAGCAGGCGTTTATTGGATGTGTAGTGCTTCCTGAGTTCCGAGTTAGATGCTGGGGCACAGCGGTAATTAAACACAGCCACTGCCTTCAGGATGTTCAAAGCATAGCAGGCAGACAGCTGCGAGTGGCAACCGGTGCCATGAGTACAGGATGCCCTGGGTACAGGCACCGCTATTACTAGAATCCCATGGCAGGTAAGGGGCTCTTGAGAAGAGAGAGCAGGGGCTGTTTTACCACAGGGGAGCGAAGCAGGCTGGCCTGGGATGGGGGTGTCATGGGGAGCAGGGAGAGGAAACACAGGAAGAGCTGGGTGATGGGCTCGGGAGAGGGTTGAGACATGGGGTACTGGGCTCACCTTGTGGTCCTGTGTCTCAGCTCCTGCTTGGCTGTTTGGGAAAGTCCAATGAGGAACAGAGACCCCTGCTTTATACCCTCGGGTCAAGGGCAAAGTCCCCAGAACTTTACCTGCCCTCCCTCTGTTCCCCATTAAATTAACTTTACCCCCAAGACTCCTCCCAGTTAATTGCTAACCTTTGGCGCTGCAGGGGGAGCCTGTGGCCAGGCTGCTCTCTCACTACACCAGTGCGCCACAGCCCAGCAGGGCACAGGACACCTTGTTCTTGGGGATTGAAAGCGATTCTGGGGCTCCCACCTCTTTCTTCATTTATGGCTGGACAAGACTCCGCAGATAGTTATCTGAATATCTGGTGGCCTTGCCATGCACCTGGATGTCTGTGTAGCTCTCTGTGTTGAGGGGTACAGTTCAAAAAAGGGGGAGCCCCCAGAGGGCCACAGTGAGGCTTCCTATTTGAGCGGTGGAGGACCTACAGGGCTTGATGCGGGATCTGGGATTCGAGAACCAAGAAGTGACTGTTCCGCAGCTTCTAATCTTCCTTAAAATGTTGGGATCGGGCAGGTCAGAAGAGCGTGCGGAAGCAGGGAGACCAGCTAGGATGCTGAAGAGAGGTCCAGGGGAGAGATGTGGGGCTGCACCAAGGTGGGCTCAGAAAGGACAGGAGGATCGGAAGGGAGGGGAGAGACAGTTGGGTCTAGGAAGCACGCACTACACAGCAAGTGCTGTGGGAAAGTGAGAAGTGTTACAGGCCCCATCCTCGTGCCAACAAGTGCCTCTTGAACGTGTAGTATAGCCTAGGTTCTGAGTTAGATGCTGGGGTACAGTCAGCCAGGCACAGCAGTGCACACCTTTAATGCCAGCACTCAGGAGGCTGAGGCAGGTGGATCTCTGCGAGTTCGAGGCCAGCCTGGTCAATAGAGCAAGTTCCAGGACAGCCAGGGCTTGTTACACAGAGAAATCCCGTCTGAAAACAAACAAGCAAACAAAACAAACAACAACAGCAAAAACCACACACAGATTGCCCTCCAGGTGCTCAAAAGTCCAGCTGGGAGACAGCTGCAAATGAGGGGTCTCTTTGTGAGCAGAAACGCAGAAACGGTAACCGGATGTTATGGCAAATGCGGGACCGCTGGAGCAGCGGTTCTCAACCTTCCTAATCTGTGACCCTCTAGTACAGTTCCTCATGCTGTGCTGACCCCAACCATAAGTTATTTCGTTGCTACTTCCTGACTGTAATTTCGCTACTGTTACAAATCATAGCGTAAACATCTGATATTTGATATCTGAAGCTACCCCTGAGGGGTGGCCACTCAGGCTGAGAGCTGCCGCCTGGGAGTGTCCCGTGGGAGGGCAGAGGCTCTTGGGAGAAGGAAGAGCAGGGATTATTTTTAGCTCAAGGGGAGCAAAGCAAGCTGGGCTGGAATGCCTTGGGGAGCAGGAAGAGGAAACACAGGAGAGCTGGGGCGATGAGCTCAGGAGAGGGTTGAGACACGGGGGCCCTGGGCTCACCTTGAGGTTCTGTGTCAACAGATCTTCAGGGCTCACCAGGGTCCCTGGAGCGGCAGACCCAAACCATATCTCCAGGGCAACACACACCTAATTGTTCTTTACCAAGGGAGATGGGAGCTCCGCACTGTTCCTGCTTCAGTCTGACCAAGGTTAACTCGTCAGTGCTTCACAGACTCAGTGGATGTGGCTAGGAGCACAAAACAAGCCCAGCTGGGGTCAGATTCCGGCTCTACTACAAAGGGACAACTGACGCCGCAGAATGCCCAAAAGAGAGAAGGGAGGCACGGTGTCACTGGGATTGGCTTTTTGATATTTTTGATGTTGAAGATGGAACATAGGGCATTGTGCTGTGCTACAAAGGAGCTTTAACTGTGAGCTGCCCCTACCTGTCGGGCAGAGTGACCCTATGTTCCAATTTGCTTAGCCAAAAAAAATTTTTTGGAGACAGGGTCTCACTATGTAGTTCTGGCTTTCCGGTGTAGTTCTCACTGCACAGACCAGCCTGGCCTCAAACTCACAACTGCTAGGATCAAAGGTGTGCGCCACTATGCTCAATTTTAATTTATAATTATAAAATAATTTATAATTGTCAGTGCAGACACCCATTTCACTCTAAAAACCATTCTGCTTTGAAGAGCAGTTCAAGCAGTTGTGAGAACTGAAAGAAAGGATTTGCAATCATGGCCTAGTAGATGGAATAGATTTAAAGGCTGGGGAGATGGCTCAGGGGTTAAGAGCACTGGCTGCTCTTCCAGAGGACTTGGGTGCAGCTCCCAGCACCAACATAATGGCTCACAACCGACTGTAACTCCAGTTCCAAGGGATCTGATGCCCATTTCTGGCCTCCTCAGGCATTAAGCACACATTTGATACATAGGCAAAGTATCTACACATATAAAAATAAGAAAAGTGTGTGCTGGATAGTTTTATGTGAACTTTACACATAAGATCATGCTGTTTGCAAGCCTGTAGGGAATTTTCTGAATTAGGAATTGGTAGTAGAGGGCCCAGCCCATCGTGGGTGGTGCCATCCTGGGCTGGAGGTCCTGGGTTCTATAAGAGAGCAGGCTGAGCAAGCCATGGAGCAAGACAGTAAGCAGCACCCTCCATGGCCTCTGCATCAGCTCCTGCCTCCAGGTTCCTGCCCTGCTGGAGTTCTTGTCCTGACTTCCCTCAGTGATGGACTGAAATGGGGAAGTGTGAGCCCAATAAGCCATCTCCTCCCCAAGTTTGGTCATAGCTGCTCTCATCACAGCAACAGTATCTATAACTAAGGTAAGTTGGTACCAGGATAGTTTGTTGGCTATTGCTGTGACATACCTGACCATGTTTTGGTGAGAACTGTGGAAGGACCTTGGAACTTTGTGTAAGAAAAGCCATTGAGTATTTAGTGCTTCGTGAGCTGTTCCATGGGAGCTTGGGAGGTAAGAACGGTGAGGGCAGTGCAGAAGATGAAAGCCTGGCTTGTGGCATTTTTGAAGGAAGCGTAGAAACTCTATCAGGGTCATCTGTTATTTTGAATCAAGATTCTATGGTTCTGGTTAGCTGGGGCTGTAATTAACAAAATACCAGAACTAGTAAAGTGAAATTGTTGCTTTGCTGATCAATTGGAGCTGAGAAATGAGTGGTGATTAAGATGGGGCCACATCGTTGAGGTGAAATCTCCTGGAAGTGTTTTCTGAGAGCACAGAGAAGCTGTGTCAAAGGCAGCCATGGTTGTATCTCACTCTGACGGCTGAGCGTGGTAGTGTAAGAGTTACCAGGTGGTACTGGCGGTTTTGAAGGCAGGAAGGAGGGCAGCTGAGGCTCGGCACTGCGAGAGGCCGGGAGAGGCCATTGGTGAAGATGCAGCCTCAGGGGCAGCTGAAGGCCCAGGACTGAAGGTACAGAGAAGCTGAGGCTTGGTGTCATGAAGACAGCCCGAGAGAGGCTATGGCTGAAAGTGCAGCAGCAAACACCAGCAGATTCGGAGATGCCAGTGCCGTGGAATGACCACTACGACAGCAGCAGCGGTGGAGTGGGGCCAGCTGAGCCCAGAAGACAAGCTGTGTGTGCGGCAGAAGGCCGAAGTGGCTCAGGCCCCTGGGAGGAGCCCAGAAGCTCTGGAGCCCCCGATGGACACTGTGTTGTTCACACAGTCCCTGCTTTTGCTTTGCATTGGCTGTGACTGTGCCTTAGCTCTTCCCCCGGAAGTAAGGTTCTATTTATTTTTAATTTGACAGGAGCCCACAGTTAAAAGACTGAATTTTAAAAGAGGTTTTAGGTTAAGAAGAAGAAGAGAAGGAGGAGAAGGAGGAGGAGGAAGAGGAAACAAAAAAACTTAGGGCTGGAGAGACATCTCAGAGGTTAAGAGCACTGGCTGGTCTTCCAAAGGTCCTGAGTTCAATTCTCAGTGGCTCATGACCATCTATAGGGAGATTTGATGCCCTCTTCTGACCTGCAGGCAGAACAGTGTATGCATAATAAAGAAATAATTTTTTTTAACTTTGAATTAAAAAAAAAAAAAACAAAACAGCGATTTTGTTTGTTTGTTTTTTGAAACAGGGTTTCTCTGTGTAGCCCTGGCTGTCCTGGAACTCACTTTGAGGACCAGGCTGGCCTCAAACACACAGTGATCCACCTGCCTCTGCCTCCTAAGTACTGGGATTAAAGATGTGTGTCAGCACTGTCCAGCTAAAGGCTGAGTTTGAAAGTGTTTGAGTTTGTAAAGCTGGGGGCCTTTAAGTCTGTAAAATATTTTATGTTATGATATGGATATCAATGTGCGTCATCTTGGGGATGAGCAATGAA